ATCTAGGTGAGTTTTAACCACTCTAGTAGGTTTAGGTTACAGATAAAATAGTCTGAGTCTCATTCTTGTATAAAAATTTGTAAAATACAGCTTCAGCCAGAGAAACCTCTTGTGAATTCTCAATACAAATTATTAATAAAAATAAATGCAAAACCTCACCTTAATTTAATTTAAAAAAAAAAAAAAAAAAAAAAAGAATATTGTTAATATGTAAAATTTTAAATATGAATATATTGTAATATTTAATAGATACAAATAATGCAAAACAAAGAACCTGCATATGATGTGAAGTAGAGAAGTTAATTGTTAAATTTATAAGATCTCATACTCAAAAAGAGGCCTATTTGATACATGCAATCATTGCTCCAAACAAAAAAACTAAGTACAATTAGTAAAAATTTAAATAATAAAAATATAAAATAAGTTAAGTTATCATCTGAAAATAATTCTAGCTCAAACATACTAATGGAAGATGATATTCTTATTATGAGATGAGTGATCTTGAAGAACTTGTGGCTACACATTTTTTAAATAATGAAGAAAATGAATATATAAAATTTTTAGCTATTATTGAATTAAATAATGAATTTACTAAAGAGGTCTTATCAAAGGAAGTGAAGTTAAATAATGCTGATAGCCAAAGTTTTTGCTTTATAATAGATACTTTAATTATTTTAATTGAAGTAGGGTTACAGTACTACTGAAAATTAAAAAATTTTTATATAAATAAAAAGAATGACCAACCTAATAGATATGCCACAGCTTATTTATATTGCTCTCAAAGAATTGATTGCTAGCATAAACATCCTGATGATTAATCTCCAAAGCGAATTAGTGAATTATGGCCAGCTATTGAGCGATTCCCCTGTAATAGAAATATTATAGTAAAAATTAATATTTCTTTAAAACAAGTTATATTAATATTTACACATTTAGTCACTCATAAACAACCAACTTACATGCAATTAAGCTGCCTCAGAAGGCAATTAGTTGAATTAAATTAAATCTAAATAATGGTCTTCATGTAACAGAATTTTATAAAAGGCTTTCCAAAGAGAAGTTAATAGACCCTACAATTCACACTTATCATCAAATATATTATTGGGTTCTTAAACTTTCTGCTAGTCAGTACGTATCAAATATAACAAATCAAGTTATTTCAACCAAAGACTATATGCAGTGACAAGACTTAATTAATCAGGGTTATAAATTAATCTTTCATCTTAAAAACGATTTTGTGAAAGTACTCAGATTTATTACACCATTTTTAAAAAGAATATATTAGTAAACTTATACTTGATTCTATATTTAAAACAAATAAAGAAAAATTTGAGTTATTTGTCTTAATGATTAATTGTGGAGGATTCGGAATACCACTTGCTTACTTATACCTTGATACATTTACTGCATCAGCAAATTATCTTCAAAACCCTATAAATAATATTAATAGTCAAACCCAAGTTCTTATAAATTCTTTCAGCTTGTTAGAAAAGAAGGTATCTTATCTTCTTTTATTCTTCTTGACAAAAATATAGGTCAAATTGCAGCAGTGGAGGAAGTGTGATTACAAAAAGTAAATATTCAATTATGCTATTGAATGGAAATTAAAAGAAAAAAATATAGGAATTCAAATTACTCAAGTCAAAAGGCTGAGGAGACAAATAAACAATTTTCATTTATTGATCCAAATTGGTATCCCACAGGAAAGCAAAGTCCAATATGTTTAATACAAAATATAAAAGATATAAAAGAAATAATAAAAAAACATTCATTATAGCATCTACTAATACCAGTAAATGCAAATACATTTCTTACCTCTGATAATATATATTATCAAAGCATACTAGAAGTTTATCAAAATTGCTGACAAAAAAATCTTGTTTATTTATGGGCCTACTTATAGAGGAATTGGTATAAAAGAAAATATTAGAAACTCCTTGCCCGGTCATCATATCCGAAAGCTATACCAATAGCGAGAACTACTATGATTATAGAATCGCATTGGTGAGTTCTTAAACATGATTACAAATATAACTATAATAGACCTCACCTTGATCACTTAAACTATATAATTACAAAGAGATTAGTTTCAGATATGATGGATACCTGGTAAAGGTATAATAATAACTGTTCACTTCCACAGTGGTGGACTAATTTTAAAGATATTTGGAGAACAGGTCTTGAAAAAAATATTGAATACCTAGAAAATTATTATACCAATATTGATAAGTGGATCTGTTCCTGCCCATCTTTCATAAATAGCCCATATTTAATATGTAAACACATAATTCAAACTTATTCTATAAACCATCAAAATTTCTTTCCACAATTTAAAAATACTGTTCATCGGCATGATTATCCCTTTGTGTACTTTGGAAACGAAAAACTTTCAAGAATTCAGTTATTCAATAATCCAGGAATGATATTCCCCAAAATTACATAAGCGAATCAAATACTATACCTGAAATATCTAACGAAAATAGATCAAATATTCAAGCCCGATTTGACACTATTGAAAAGCGAAAGGCTGAGCTAGCATTAAATAAAAAGACTTTCGAGCCTTTAATGTTAATAGTTGAACAAAATATCGAAAATGATAATTTTTACAACGAATATAGAAAGCTCAGACAAAGTTTGATTGAAGAAACCTTAGCATGTAATGAAGCTCTAAATGCCAGAACACAACAGCGAACATGGAAGCTACCAAAAAACCGAAAATTAGCATTCTGGTTAAATTAACGTGTATGTACAGTAATCATAATTATAAATAAAAAAAAACTTTATCGTCTCTTGATTTTGCAAGTCATTAACGTTAAGGTTACGATTATCATTATCGTTTTATTCATTTTATAATAAAAAATTCGGCCAATAAAATTTTTTTATGCATGATGATCTTCACGTGACTGCCGATTTTTTATAGCACCACTAAGTCACTAAAAATATAGCATTGGTCAATCGGTCGGTCAAACCGTTCGGCTAGTATCGGTTACGGTTATAACCGGTCAATAACCAGCTATAACTATAAATGAACCCCATAACCAAAACCAAACAGAAATCTATCTTTATTTTAGCTATTAATGTTCAGAAACTTGTTTTTGATTACTCTAAAAAAAGTTTTTGATAGTACAGTCAAACCCCTCTATAGTCACACCTTTGGGATACAAAAAATGTGATTATAAAGAGAGGTGTCTAATATAGAGGTATTTTCTATATAGCTATAAATAATTGGTAATAATTATACTAATTTTGTGACTATAGAGGAGGTGATTATACAGGGTTGACTGTATAACTAGAACTATTTCGTCTTAATTAAAATGCAATCCAGAAAGTAGCTCGTCATAGATGGATGCACTTAGAAGTGTATCTAAATTTTGTAAGTCAGCATATGGATTTGATCCTTCAATTAAAGCACGACGATCTAAAATATTTTGAGATCTGGTTTGCCGTCTACGTTCATTTGGATTTCTATAACGTTGGCCAGTAGCATTCCGTGGTCCACTAATATTTTGAGATCTTATGGGTGAATTTATGGCTTGCTGTCTACACGCAGTTAAAAGCTTACGATGTCGATCACCGACATTTTGTGGTCTATCATTAATAGAAATACTATTATTAGAAATATTTTCATCTGCATTTATGTGTTCAAGTAACTTTTGACCACCAGCAGTTTGTAGTTTACTAGTATTTTGAGAACTTTTGAGTTGACCATCATTGGATTCTAATTCTTCAATAGTTTTGATAGTATTGATATTAGAAATTTCATCTGCATTTGTATACTCAAATGGCTTTTTACCACTGGTATTTTGTGGTCCACTAATATTTTGAGATCTTTTATGTCGATTAATATTGGGATCAGATTCTTCAATATCATTGACAGAAATATCATTATTAGAAATAATTTTATTCGTAGTTATATACTCAAATGACTTTTGACTAATTTGGCTACTAAATATGCTGGTATAAATCATACTATCTTTCATATTATTATTTTTTTTAATCACCATTTCTTTATCGGATTTTAAAAATTCATCCAAAAATTCAGTACTATTTTTCCACTCCAAAATAATCTCATAAATTTCTATAGCTGATGGTCGTTTTTCTGGATCTTTATCCCAGCATCTCTTTAAAAGATTTATATAACATGGCGTTGTACCTTTAATAATATTTGGTCTCAAACCTTCTAGAATTTCTATATAGAATGTTAAATCACCATATTTATAGTCTGAAAATACAGTATGTCCTGAAGAAATCTCCCACATAATCATTCCAAAAGAATAAATATCTGATTCTTTTGTGAATGGCTTTCCATTCAAAACTTCAGGAGCTATATATGGTAAAGTCCCATAAATTTCTCCTGATTTCATTAAGTTTTATTAATCGATGTTGCAAATCCTAAGTCTCCAATATAAGCATTATATAAATTATCTTGAAATATATTGCCACTATGTAAATCGCAATGAATAATATTATTCGAATGAATTATTTGAAGATCGAATGCAATATAGGACAACAATTCTAATTTTTTCTCCCATTTCATTTGTGCAACGTCGTAGAGATTCTTATGTAAAGAACCCATTCCCGCATATTGCATGACTAAAATATATTTACTTGTGCCTTCATCCCTTGTTATTCCATAGCATTGCAAGAACGTCGGGTTTTTAATTCCAATATTCGAATACGCGATTAACTTTAAAATTATAATTATTAATAATTGAATATTAACTATCAAATTTATAAACACATCATTAAATATTTACCTCCTTTATAAGAACTTCACAGCTATTTTTTGACCCATGAAACAATTTAAGTGCAACCATTTGGTTTAAAACACTACCGTCTGTTCTTATTTGTTTCCAATTAGCAGCATACACAGTTGCAAACCCGCCTTCTCCAATTTTTTCTCTAAATTCTAATTCACCAAATGGAATCCATGATATTAATAAATTTTTGTCTGATAATAATATTTTTAAAGAGTTATCAATATTTTCATAGTCTGCTGCCTTTTTAAAATTATTATTTCTTGCTTTTTGTATCCACTCAACAGCTTTTTGCTGGTTAGGCAATGTTCCAAAGCCATTCCGGTAGCATAATCCAACTTCATATTGCCCGCTATAATATCCATTTTCTGCTGAACTTAAATACCATTCAAATGCTCTATTTTCACTTTTTATTGTACCAATGCCATTCCGATAACACAATGCGAGATTATATTGTGCAGTGGGGTTACCGCCTTTAGCAGATTTCAAATACCACTCAAGTGCCTTTTCTTCATCCTTGGTTGTGCCTATACCATTTTCATAGCATAATCCAATTCTGTTTTGTCCATTCAAATGGCCTCCTTTAGCAGATTTCAAATACCATTCAAATGCCTTTTTTTCATCCTTGTCTGTACCTATTCCAGTCCGGGAATATACCATATTTGGCTATTGCAGATCGCACCTTATTTGGTGATGATCGTCCGTCGGATTGTTCTGG